AAAATTTTCACAGTTATCATGTGTTTTTTTACGGATTGTGATAGATATCACGGCATGGTTTTCAGATCAATCAAACGATTGCATATATTTTTCGTGTAAACGCTTCAAAATTATGATTAGTCAATGTATCCATGTCAATTATTAGATATCGATAAATCCCAAAAAGAAAATAGGCGTGAAAACGCCTTAAAACTGCAAATTTGTACTTAAAACACGCACAACTGGGAAAGTCAGCGTGTACACGGCAATAATATCGGTTTTCTATGCGATTATATACTAAGAAATGATAGAGTTTATAATTTTTCCCGTCTTCTCGCCAAAAACAATCGGAATCTTAGTGTTTTCACGCCCATTCTGTTTTACACGCGTGTAATCACTCAAAAGACGCGATTTTTCGGCGTGAACACGCGTTTTTGGCAATTCTAGTCTGCTTGGGTCATGTATGAATGGTTGGATGTTTGAAGTTTTGGCATAAGAAGTGATGAAATGGTGGAATCTGCTGTAGATATGCCGTTGTGTATAGCTGGAAGATATACGATATCGGATAAACCGAATTGTGAGCATATAGAAATAAATTGAGTTACTTGTTGTAAAGAAGCATTAATTTGATTGTACGTTGTTCTTTTTGAAAAGTTAATAGTGTAGATGAATAGCGTACAGCACGCAAAAGTGCTGTGTCGATGGTGTGACGATTTCTGATGGAAGAGATGTGTATCCCGATGGAATCATGTCTTTCTTTATTTCTCCCTATCATCAATCGCATCGTTCTAATACAGAACACACGTTTATATACTCCTCTCTCGATAGAAGGGAAAGAAGGAAGGATAATGTCAAAGTACGTAAAAATGCACCGAAGTAGGGACCAAGAGCATGCGTACAGCGCATGCGAAAAAGATCGTCACAACAATAACTAGAGGAAGTACCCACTGCAAATAAGAAATATCTATGTCGAACATGTCATGTATTGAAGAGCTATAACAGGTAGAAAATCAGTTTAATTCAAATTTCTACGCTTCCACTCATTATTTTCCCGCCGTGCATCGCATAAAATGGCAGTTTCGTCTATATCTCTTTATGCAAAAGAGTTACCGAAGCTAGTTTCTGCCTCAGAAATCATGAAAATCTCCTCTTTCTCTGATATTCATTTTCCACTCCAGCTATTCATTCATCGACCTCTTTCTCACTCTCACATCATTTCATACCTTATATCCTTCGAATTCACCCACTCTCAACATTTATCTTAATATTTTGAGATCCTGTAGCGCTATTGGTGAGTTTCGCACATTATCTGTAGCATTCACCGAACTATCATACACGTAGAGAACACGTGGATTGTTGTCTTTGAGCGCTCAGACGGCCTTCGGTCGTCTTCGCTATTAATTTTCTCAATTTTGGAAATCCTGCAATCCTATTGGTCAGTTTCATAGATTGCCTGTAGCAAACGGCTGGTTCCTTTGTTCTCGGAACAAAGTAGATGTCGACCTTCCTCTGGATCTCAGGAAGCATTGTGGAAAGTTTCACACCGATAGCTACTACACGGACTGAATGCATAGCGAACAAACAAACAAACAGACAAACTTTCTTCTTTATATACATAGAAGATATGGTTTTTGATAAGCTGTTCAGATTCCGAATGTTGTTTTAGTTGAAATCGTCTTATCTCTGTATTGTTTTTTGTATGATTAGTTTAATTTAATGACTGTTCTTGTTATAGATCAGATGTCATTTTTCATCTTTTTATGATAGTTATATTTGGAATTGGTGTTCAGAAAATGACTATTTTCCCCGTGCCAAAAACAGTTTGCATTTCAACATATTATTTTTACAATTAATATAGAACAAAATATTTTAGTGTGCACCTTTCCTCTCTATCCCTTCCTTTCACAAGGACAGAAAAAAACTTTAAATAGGAAATTCAGAGTCGGAACTCGAATAGCACACAGATGCCTCTACACTGAAGCGAAGGACCTACATACAGTAACGAAAGAGGAAAGTTTAGAGTTCCACGTGAAAAGGTCTATCAGGAGGCAAATAACGAACGCGAATAAAATCGACGTTAGTCTCTCTCCTTCTTCGAGAATATATTCAAATGGGATTGGATGAAGAAAAAGAAGAATGACGGAATCGGACAATCTTTTCAGAACGAGGAGAGTAAAGAAGCAACTGAAAGGACACGAGGTGCTGCTGCTAAAATGGATAGAATTCATCGAGTAAAAATGAACCCAAAGAACTAAAACTAGAAAAAGGAAAGGAAAGAAGACATAGCTCCCGAAAAAGAAGCGAAGTGGACCATGGACTTCTTACCTCTCTCTCTCTCTTTCCATTTTGTACACAACAAGCCTGTCGGTTTTTGTGTATTTTATTCCTTTTCTTCTTAATCTGCTCTATTACTGTCCTTAATTTGTGAGAATTTCCGAGCGCTACAATATATAGCTAAAACACACGATATAGAACAAAATATTGAAAAAAGTCTTTTTTATATTTCCATCGTGACACTTTTATTTTATCAAGCTAAAATAAACATATAAAGAATTCGCCTACATTTTTGTTTCATTAAATAATCACGTATGAATAAATCTTTTTTCATTTAGAATTAAAACTCTAATGAGAAAAAAAAGTTGAAACACAATAATAATTCTAATTCAATAAATGGTAATGGAATCTGTTCGCTTTTGGATTCTTCTTATATTTGAAATTCCTTCATTAATCTGTTGTCTTCTTTTACTTTATTATTTATGTTTTGAGAAAAGTTTCCGAACAAATTTAAATCATCACGTTTTTCTTCTAATTTTAATCAATGTTCTTCTTATCGAACTTATTGATGTTCCAAACTATTTAACATTTCTCCGTTTAAATTTTGTTTGGCCTCAACTATCAATCAATTGTTACCTTTGGTGGTTTATTACTTATGGAAATTATAGTAGCATCGGTATACTTATGGGTTGGGCATCAATCGAAAAACATATATTTATCTTTCATTCTCAATTGTTAAATACAAAAAAGAAACGTATTTTGTATCATTATCTACCACTTTTAATGATTATGTTCTATACTTCTATCTTCTATATTATTTGTATTTTCTTTGCATCTTGCGAACCAGTCTTTGATTATAATTCAAGTTGGTGTTATACACCATGTTATACTCGAATAGAAAATCTTAGTCGATATGATATATTAATGAATACAATTTTACCAATTTTTATTATTATTAGTAGTGATGTTTTCTTATTTATTCGTGTTATTAAACAAAGACAAAGTCTGCATCAAGAGATACAATGGTATAAATATAAACGAATGATTATACAAATAAGTTTATGTTCATTTTTATTTCTTGCATTTCAAATACCTACAATGTGTTATAATTTTGCACAGACATTTGGTTTAAAATATGAAATATCTGATGAAATTGTAACATCTTTATATTGTTCAGCATATTTTATGGTTCTTCTTATGCCATTTCTGTGTCTCATTTCATCAAAAGACATTTGGTTGAAAATTAAATCAAAATATATTCGAAATATAATTATTCCACAAATAACTATCCGATAATTTGAAATGTTTTTCCAATTGTAACCTAACGGAACAATAAAACCTCTTTTCGAGAAATAAAATCTATCTGAGATATATTTCAAAACTTATTCTGTGTCTTCTTTTATTTATACATCAATTGAGAATATTGATCAATAAACATTTGTTCGGAGTTTAATTTAAAAAAATAAAATTTTTTCTCGTAATATTTGATTGGTTTTATGCAATGAAACTTATATATTTATGTATGGCTATTTGATGTGAGTTTGCTTTCTTTCCTTTAGCTTCTCCAAGCTTTTTTACTTCTAGAGAAGTTATTCAACAAGTAACGCGGCCTAGTAGCCGCTAAATCCTCTGCTGAAAGGGTAATATCAGAATTAGAGCGCTACTATTCGTCCAAAGAGAGAAAAAAGTTATTTCAGTTGAACGATCTGATCATTTGATAATTTGTCAGAATGTTTTACTTCGACCAATTTCACTTCGTGAAATCTTCTGAAATTATAACGCCTAGTCGTTTGTCGGCCTCTTTCCGGTCGATCATTCACCACTAGCCGTCGCTACCTAATAAGTGTTTAATGATATTTTCATATTAAAAAGTACCTCGTTCTTGTCGAGTCCGTCTCTAGCAAAGTTGCCGAAATTCTTCACAACTTGATGACCTACAGTATATCTTTTATTATCATTTTTAGTTGAATAAGTCGATGATTCACATAGTTTTTTCTTGAAGCTCGAAAAGATGTCGTATATATATACCTTAGAAAAATGATGGGCACTTTGCGACAGTCTTATAAATCTCACTTTTCAACTAATTTTCAAAAGAAACAACTAGTCGGTCGGCCACTCACGGCTAGCTGTTCCCATGCGTACTCATTTTACTATCTTAACTTCACTCGGACGAAGATGCGTTCCGAAAATGAGCTAATTTCAGAAAATCAATTCATAGTCAAAAACTTAGAAACTTTATGCAGGTATATGTTTCTCTTGAAAAGGTTTCGATCTACTCTCCACCACGAGGCACCTTAAATAGCTGCCAGCTATGTTCGTGCAGAGCAACAATTCACTTCTGTCCAAGACATCTTAAAGCTCTATACAATTCACAAAATTTATTCTTGAAAATATTATTATGCAAATCGACGACTAGTCGCTCGTTGGTCTCCCTCCGGTCGGCCACTCGCGGCTAGCCGTTACATGTACATTTTCACTCTTCCATTTACTCTAGAACCGCTTTTGAAACTAATCCATTCATTTTCTTCTGTTCCGTCTTTAAAAGTTATCTTCTTTGTTCTACTGTGATTCTCGAAGACACACTTGACAAGCGAAACATTATTTTGAATGACTGGCATCAGATGATATTCGTATAGTATACCTGTTTATAAAAGTGTGTGATCTCATTAATATGCTGATGACTATGGAGATCCAGCGATCGGACGCCAGTCAGCTATTAAATTTTGCTCTACATATTGCCGCTTAAAATATTATCGTCTAAAAAATTGATCCTTTGTCGCAAAAAAACGGACGAGAAAGTGTTCATGAAAAAACTAACACCGGATTCGAGAACCTCGACCTTGACTATCCTTCGGTCAAATTTTGTGCTCCACTAGGGTCACTGAATAATCACTATCGAACAATGATGTGAAAGAACGAACAAACCAACATCAACTCGTTTTTTTTTGTAATACCTACTCGACGCATAACCCTCCTTTCAGTAGAGGGAATGAAAAATGAGAGGATGTCAATCTTTGCACGAAGAAAACCGATCTAAATATATCGGAGTATTTATATTCCTTGCGTCAAGGTACATAAAAATCTTCATAACCGAGATTTCTCTCGTACACTCCAGTCAGTACTCCTTCATTTCTCTTCTCTTCGACGAAAAAGTCTTCTTCCTATTCTTTTTTTCTGTGAAAGAAAGCTTCGAGCGAGATCAGTGGTGGGTCGGAGCTTTTTGAGTATGGTATCTTCCAGCTATAGAGCATGGGACTGTGAGGTCCTCGTAATGGGGATGTAATTGTAAACTCTAATCTCTCGTATATGAACGGAAGATCAAAAACACTAACGTCTAGAAATTCCATTATGAAGGTAAAATAAATGACCTACCGGATCAAATAATGATCAGAGAAGGAATGTAATGATATCAACCACGTATATTTGGGAGTAACGGAGAACAACAAATCAGGAATAAACTGAAACAACAACAGAAAACTAGAGAAACCTCTCTATAAGTATCTCTAGATATATGGAGAGAGAAAACACAAGAAAAAAAGAAAAATATCAACACGAGGAAAAGAGACGAAAACGAAAAACAGATACAACAAAGAAGATCATCGTGTCTTCATGATGATCAAGAGAAGACTACATATCACAAGAAAGAAAGAAAAATGTGTCCGTAGAGACAAGAAAGGAATGTGAAGAAAACGAGAGAAAAGAGGAAGAAATACACATATGTAACTTATGTGTACAAGATCACGTCATAAAGTAACAATCGATGATGCTAACAGTATCTGTTTCATATTAATGTTTTTTCAAAACAAGTACTTTAGAGCTGTTAGCAAGAGTCGGATGATTTCGTTTTTTTTTCAGTCATTGCTCGGACTTGTGATCTTGTTACATAGTTTGCGCTTATACTACATAGAGGTGCCAGGAATACCAAAGGGCACAACATAGTAACACAACCTGCTCCTGCTGCCAACGCTGCCACAGTGCCTAAACCGCCTGGTAATCCTTCCTCCCAAAAGCATTGTTTTTAGTCATCGACGCCTTTTGTCTGATAGCATCTATACACGTTATAAGATGTCAACAGAAAACCAGAGAGAACACCTCCGACAGCGGAACTTTCAAAGTAGACAGTAGCTCCACTAGTTACCGCACCTGATGCTGCGCACACGGTTGCTGTTTCGAGTGCGGTTTTAGCTGTTGTCTTTAGTTCTTCTTTATCAATCTTACGCTTTTGTATAGCATTTATAGTAAAAGAAACAAACTCGAAACCTGCGCCAATAGTTGCATTCAGTAATGCACTTGAGATAGCCACCTTCGTAACCATCGATCCTGTATTCATGCTCAACGTGTCTAAAGATCGTTCTGGACCTGAAAGGACCTGATGAACTTCTTCGTTGCTAAACGATTTACTACTGATGCCTTGATAGCTAACAGTTTCGCTCCATTTATTACCAGCCATATTTTTGGGAGCAATCTTTGAATCCACTTGACTATATTTAGGATTTCCGAGCGTTGCTACATTAGCCTTGCTACCAAACTTCAGTTGCGCGGTGGATAAAATAGCAGGGACGTTTTTGGATGTATCTTTCAATTCGATGTCGGTATTTGGATTACCATATTTGGCAGAGTAAGCTCTAATAGGTGAACCTTTTCGGATGGCATCCAGATTGAACGTTAATTCATGAAGTTTTTCAGCGGTGAACCCAGTCTTTTGTAAGTTTCCCCAGCCTGCGTTCTTAATTCTTTTGATATTCTCAAGAGCTTTTTCTTTCAACTTTCGAACTTCTTGGATTTTCCAAACGTCATTGCGGTCTGTGATTGAATAGACATTGGTCGTTTTTCTGCCAATCGATTGCTTCTTTCGGTCTTCGTCTTCAAAATCTCGTTCTGATGTTTCCATGGCAAACACTAAGATAGTAATTAACCCTTTAGATGATGTACTATCTCGCGGACAAATAACGCCTTTTTCCATTTCATCTTTGCATTGGTTGATACTTTGTTTACAAAGAACAAAATATGCCGTTAGATGCAGCGTGAAAAAAATTACAACCTACAAAGTGAAGTTTATTTCAATCATGTACTTCTCATTTTCAAAAATAGCGGAGTTCGGTAAGATTAATGTCGTACGCTGCAAAAAATCCTATTTTTGGAACGTCACCTTGGGACCTTACGCAGTCACCTCCCCACGTGACGCCTCGAAAAATATAGTGAGAGGACCTTTGCAGCTGGGCCACAACCTCTGGCTACCAGATGAGATTGTTTCCAAAGATTTTTAGTCAAGGCTTTCTCTCAAAAACCGAACTCGGTCCAGGAAAGTCCAAATAAGCTAAAATTTGAACTCGATATCACCTGGTTTAGCAGAGATATGACTCACGAGGGCATCTCTCGAGGTGATAAAAAGCTTTAAGACCCAGACTACTCTTGTCTTATAGACCCTAGCTAGTAATGAAATACCCCCTTTTGGTTCATTCCCTTATCGCTTTCTAAAGGA